TGTTCAGTGTGTTTTTGCATTGCATTCATCTGTTTCTGTAGTTTGTATTTGCTCTGTTTCATTTTCAGCTTTATGTGGCTTGTTTTGATCAATTTTGGCGCTAACAGCAGTCAAAAGTGGTCCAGTTGGTAAGTGAAATTTCCTTTTATTAACATGAGAAAGCCTGAAATATATTTTGGGTTATTGTAGATACAAAAAAAGGATGAAATTAAAATAAGAGGTCATCGACAATCAACAACGACAAACTCATGTTGCGAATTGCTATAGGCTGGAACTTCAATGTCGATATTTTATCAAAGATGATTGGAGAATTGATTGACAAAATCATAAAGAACGTTGGATATATGTGGTGGAAACGATCGATTAAATATATGCTACAAATTAAATTTAATGAAAATGACATAAAACTTTTAATTGTATAAAATTAAAACCCAAAAAATTAAAATGGATCGAATAAGCACCAGATAAAACATGATTATAGAAATTGTGAAAATTAGTGAATATTGAATAGGTTGAACTCACTTGTGAGCACAAATGAAATTATGCAGATAAAGTTTGAAATTTCTTAACATACAAATATTCTTTCTAAAATATGCAACCCACTGGAACTTTCAACACCTCAATTATTGGGTGAGTCAGTCATAAACGTCATCGCCTACGTCAAATCTCACTGAATAAAAAAAGCATTTTGTTCATTTAATCGCTTACGTCAAATCCAACTGAACAAAAAAGCATCTTGTTCAACACTTTTCAGTTTTCATTGCACTCTTCAAGATATTTTTGCTTTGCTTGTTATCATTGGCCCATCCTTTTCCAATCACAAATTAATTTAGGTAAAGTATGTAATCGGATTCTTTTGGAAGGTTCCATCATTCTAATCGATTTTTTTTACCATAAATGACTGTGTGATCCAACCGTATAAAATTGAAGGAAAATTGATCAGTAAAAAAATTTTGGTGAATGAACTGAAAAAACCACGTGTTGTTAGTCTTCTCTTTAGGCTTGACCATACAATATCTGTACAAGATATTTTTTATAGAATCTGTCCAGACATAATTTGTTGGCAGAAAGTGACAATTGTTGTCATAATGACAAGCCTACCAACACCATGACTATGAGGTCTGCAAGTTATATCAAGAAGACCCTTTGTTGCAAAATTATCACTTTCCCCTTACTAAATCCTCTCTCAACTTAACAAAATTAAACTAAAAGTAAATAATGGCAACAAGTTCACAAAACCCAGCAAACCTTATCTTCATCCCTTTCCCCATCCTCAGCCACCAGGCTGCCGCCGTGCAAACCGCCGGCCTCCTTGTCGACCGGAACCCGCGCCTCACGGCCACCATCATCGTCATGAAGCTCCCGGTCGACACCAAAACCACCACTCCCGACCACAACCCCAGGATACGGTTCGTGGAGCTTCCCCCGGACGAGCAAAGCTTTGCCAAGTATGGCACGAACCCGAACTCCTTAACCGTCTACTACACCGAAAGCCAGAAGGGCCCGGTTAGAGACACCGTGATGACTATAATGCATTCGGGCCGGGTCGCGGGCTTCGTGGTCGACATGTTCTGCACGGCCATGATCGACGTGGCCCACGAGCTCGGTCTCCCATCCTACATTTTCTTCACGGGCAACGCCTCGAACCTCGGGCTCTTGTTCGGGCTCCAGGAGTTTATCGACCGGGAGAATAAGGACCTCGCGGATTACGAGAATACCGATTTCGAACTATCCTTCCCGATTTACTCGAGCCCTGTTCCTGCCAAGGTGTGGCCGACGCAAGTCTTCGAGAAGGAAAGCAATTGGTCGAACTTCACGAGGAAATTCAGGGGAACGAAAGGGATCGTCGTGAACACATTCCTCGAACTCGAGCCGCGCGCGATCCGCGCCCTCTGGGAGGATGAGTTAACCCCACCAGTTTATCCCGTGGGCCCGATTATCGAGTCGGAGGCTAGAGGACGAGGAGTAATTAGTCGCGAAGAAGAGGTCGTGATGAGGTGGCTCGACGGGCAGCCCGACTCGTCGGTCGTGTTTCTCTGCTTCGGGAGCGGCGGGTGGTTCGGTGCCGAGCAAGTGAAGGAAATTTCCGAGGGGCTCGAAAACAGCGGGCAGAGGTTTCTTTGGTCGTTGAGAAAGCCGGCTCCCGAGGGAAAGTTGGAGTTTCCGGGGGAGTACGAGGATCCAGGGGAGGTCCTTCCGGAAGGTTTTCTCGAGCGGACTGTAGGGTTTGGGAAAGTGATCGGGTGGGCCCCACAGATAGCTGTGATGGCCCACAGGGCGGTCGGGGGGTTCGTTTCGCATTGCGGGTGGAATTCGGTGCTCGAGAGCGTGTGGTTTGGGGTTCCGTTAGCGGCGTGGCCGATCTACGCCGAGCAGCAAGCGAATGCTTTTCAGCTTGTGAGGGAGCTCGGGATGGCGGTCGAGATCAAGGTGGAATACAATATGAAGACTTGCAACGGGATTGTGCCGGCCGCGAGGATAGAGGGGGCCGTGAGGGAGTTGATGGGACCGGAGAATGAAGGCCGGCGAGCTAAGGTGAGGGCTTTGAGCGAAACGAGTGGGGCTGTCATGTTGGAAGGAGGTTCGTCGCATGAGTTTTTGGGCCGGTTTATCGACAGTGTTTTGGATAACATTTCTTGATTTTATCATCTATTTTGTTTATAGTTCTTCTGCTCTTGTTTGATTCTGATGAGTAAAAGTTGGAATGTATTTTGGATAACGTTTCTGGATCTAATCCCTTCTATTTACCATCGTTCTGTTCGCGTATACATTTTCATTTTTGTTTTTTCGAGCTATTCTCGTTTTGTAACTTGTAATGCACCAAACGATTACAAGTATCCTTACACAAAGTTTTACGTTATGAATCAGCATAATGAAAGAAAAAAAGTTTTCGAATCAGATCTTTCCTCAATAAGAAAAGTATAATGAAAACACTAAGAAATAAAGAATGGCTGCACTTTCCTCCAACAAGTCAACTTTAAAGCACCATCTTAAATAGCACAACGAAAATATATCAAATAATAAATAAATCTAGCTAGTTAGATCTTAGGCTGTACGTCTAAAAAAAAGGCCAATGAACCGTTGCCAACATCACCAATATAAAAATACATGGCTAGTTCACTTGTGCTCTCTCAACAAATCAAAGACAGGGGACACCTACAGTCAACCCTCGAGAGGGCGAAGGCCCTAATCCACCGGGACCCACGCCTCTCGGTCACCGTGTTTCTCATCAAGCCCCCGTTCGAACCCAACGGCTACATCCCATCCTCGTACGGTTCCGACCCGAGAATCCTCTTTGTCGACATCCCGAAAGTCGAGCCATCTCCAGGCCCACTGGTCTCGTTCGTCCCTTTCATCACCCGATACATCGACGGCCACAAGGACCACGTGAGAAACGAGGCGGCCCAATTAATGGCCCGGCCCGCTGGATTCATCGTCGACATGTTCTGCACGGGCATGGCTGACGTGGCTCGTGAGCTCGCCGTCCCCACGTACGTGTACTTCACGTCGATTACGAGGATCAAGATCTGACGGTGTATGCGGACTCGGATGATGAGATTCGAATCCCATCCTTCAAATCGTCCATCCCGGCAAAATTGCTCCCCAATGCAGTGTTGGACAAGGACAGTGGCATCCAGTTTGGGACTCCTCTGTAGTTTTGGGAGCAGGGGATGCTTCGACGGGGCGCAGGTGCGGGAGATCGCGCGGGGCCAAGATGGTGCCCGGGGAGTACGAGGATTTGAGGAGGTCCTTCCAGAAGGGTTCGTCGGGCGGACGGAAGGGCTCGGGAGGGTGATCGGGTGGGCCCCGCAGGCGCAGGTGTTGGGCCACTGGGCAGTGGGTGGGTTCGTGTCGTCACTGTGGATGGAACTCGGTGCTCGAGAGCGTGTGGGAAGGTGTACCGATGTACGCGGAGCAGCGGATGAATTGTGCATGAACTATATAAAAGGGAGAATTTCATTGTTAGTTAAACTAATAAGAGCATGCATATTTCAAAGTTGTGTGTACTGTATTGTATGTTATTTTATATCCTGTGTTGGGTTTGCAATTTTCATTTCTGATTTTTAGGAACCATTTTTCTTAAAATAACTATACATAGGGGCATTGAGATTGACTTACACACACCCACAGGTGGGGCACTGCCCATAGGAGCAATACGAAGTCATCGACAGATAAACTTATGCCGTCTCGCCTAAGAATTTGTGGAATGAAAATTATTCTCTGCTTCTGATTTGAAATAATAAAGCATCCTCAATAAAACTAGTTAAAAGCCACACACAAACACTAAACACTAAAACTCTTAACTAATATTCGTAATAACATCCTCAATAAAACTAGTTATAGCATGATAAGACGATCCGCCTTTCTCCAGAGCCGCCTTGCTTTTCCCCTGCATTTCCCTCACCTTCTCCCTAACCCCACCATCGTTGGCCGCCATCAGCCGCCTTACCGCTGCCTCTATCTCCTCCGCCCCCACAATATTCTCCGGCGACGAGCCCTCCCCGGAAAAAAGATCCTTCCTATAATCTATCCTAATCGGCTCCGCAATTCCGAGCTCCCTCACCAGCAAAAACGCGTTCATCTGCTGCTCCGCGCGCAATGGGAGCGTGGCCATGGGCACGCCGTGCCATATGCTCTCGAGCGTCGAGTTCCAACCGCAGTGCGAAACGAAACCCCCGACCGCCACGTGGGCAAGCACCGCCACCTGTGGGGCCCACCCCATCACCTTCCCGACCGTCGAAGTCCGTTCCAAGAACCCTTCTGGAAGGACCTTCCCGAAATCCTCGTACTCGGTCGGGGGAACGAACACCCCACCGGGCTTACCTGGGCCGCCGGGCTTCCTCAGCGACCAGATGAATCGGGCCCCACTATGTTCCAAGCCCGCCGCGATCTCCGCCACCTGGGCCCGGTCGAAGCTCCCCATCGTCCCGAAGCAGAGGAACACCACCGACCTGTCCGGCTGCCTGTCGAGCCACTCCTTCAACTCGCCATCTAGGGTTTGATTCTCCGCGCTCAGCACCGGGCCCACCGGGTACACCCTCGGCATCCTCCTGTCGTTTTTTATGGACTCGAGCGCGAAGGGCTCGAGCCCTTCGAATGTGTTGACCATGACCCCCCTCGTGTCCACCACTCTCTTGAAGTAGCCGAGGGCAGTAGAGAAAACTGGGCTGCCCGAGACGATGTTGGCGGGCAGCACTTTAGCCGGAACAGGGCTCGAAAAGCAGGGGACGGGCAGGTCGAGGCTCGAGTCCTTGTACCGGGTGAGGTCTTCGCCTTTTTCGAATTTGAGGGAGACGAGGTAGTTGAAGAGGCCGAGTGCAGACGCGCCCGACGTGAAGTAGACGTAAGACGGGAGGCCGAGCTCATCTCCTATCTCGGTGAAGACGGTGCAGAACATGTCGAGGACGAGGCCCGAGACAAGAGAGCCCATTTGCCCGGCCCGACGGGAGATGAGGCCCGAGACGGCTTCCTTGACGTGGGTCTCGCGGGTGTTGATAAAGTCAATCATGGGTATGCGGTCGGGGGATGGCGCGAAGTCGTGGTTAGGGAGGTGGGTTAGGGTGAGGCGGGGTGCGGTGATCGGGGTTGTTCGGGTGTATTTGTCGACGGTTTGGTCGGTCGGGAGCTTCATGACGAGGATGGTGACGGAGAGGCGTGGGTCCCGGTCGAGGAGGAGCTTGGCAGCCTCGACAGTGGAGACGAGGTGGCTCAGCCCGGGAGAGGGGATGAACACCAACTCAAAATTTTCCATGTTTTTAATTGATTGATTTTTTTTTATTTTTTTTTTTTTGGATTGATGTTGATGAGTTGTTTGTGTGTGGACTGTTTTTTGTTGATGTGTTTGAGTCGAAGAGGCAAGGATAAGATAAGGTGATGGGTGTTGGGAGTGGGAGCTGGTTTATACTTTATAGACTAGTGATGCATGAGCTATCTATATCGATTTCCCAAAGTGCCAACTGGTATTTATGTACTTGTTTATAGACTAGTGAATAGTGATGCATGAGCTATCATATCGAGTTTCCCAAAGTTCCAACTAGTACTTTATGTATTTGTTTATAGACCAGTGATGGGCAGTCACCAACTGGGACAATTCAAGTTATATTTTAATACGCCCACTCACAAGTGAGTCCTTCGCAAGACCAAGTCCTCACAAGTGTTATTCTAATCATAGTTAAAGTGTTGAGTTAGCCTTGCAAAAAGAAATGAATTAACTAAATAAATATAAAAAAAACATTAAAAATTAAAATAAAACATTTACCATAAAAATTTGTATTGCACAATAGATAAAAGTTACTAAAAAAAGTTAATTAACATAAGCTAGTATTCTTAGTATTTCATGCCATTGGAGTTATTATAAAGAAAAATTAATTTTATGCATTCAATGTTGGTCAATTATCGAGCAATATGCAAAATATGAATAGTTAAAAAAGTTATATGATTAATATAATCGATAATTATATAAGTACATGCAAGTAATTTGTATACAATCATTATATTAAATCTTACTTAAATTGGAAAATAAAAATTAAATATTTAAATAAATATTATATTATTACAACTTGATATGTTCACTACAAATAAAAATTATTATATTCCAGCGGGAAATCCTACTATAATATAATACCATGGAAATTCCAACGAAAATTACAATGGCATAGCTTCCGTTAAAGTGATTTCCACATAAGTTCCAATCGAAAATTTTCCGTTGGAATGAGTTTTGATGGAGACGAGACAGCGAGTGCGTTTCTTGATAAATATGATCGTCACCGTATTTAGCTTTAATAATTATAGTCTTTTATTATTATTTCCTTATTTCTAATTGGCAGGAGAATATTATAATATACTTATTTTTAGTTGGTAGGAGAATATTTATTTATTTAGTATTTTCTTGTTTAACAAGTTAGGTTTTAGTTTTGAAAGTCTTATATACGGCTTTGCTATGAAGCTAACAGTTGGCTTCATAGCAAAACCGGTCTTATATAAAGGACTCTCCTACTTTATTGTTACTTGGTGAACTAATAAAAGACTTGATTGAGTTTTGTGAGTTAGCGAGAAATTATCTCATTCATACCTTTTCTACTCGTACACTTCCATACATCAAGTTTTCTATTGGTATTTTAGTTGAAATTTGATGATTTAAACGACTATTTTTTCAGTAGTCTTTTACCGTAAAAATTTTCGTTGGAATTTTTATTTTCACACCCATTGAAAAATCTATCATTGAAATCCATTAAAAAATTATATCGAAAATAATAGCATTACAATAATTGTTGTTGAAATTGCATTAATATATATTTCCGTTGGAATCTAATTAGAATTTCATCATCGTCTTGTAGTAGTCGTATCGAATAGAGCTGACATATCATCTTAAATAATTTTATATTTTAATAATAAAATATTTTTTACTATATCCCGTACACGGCTAGCAAGTAGCAACACTACACTAGTATTGAGAAACGTCATAAAATGAGACAAAAGTTTCGAAACGTCGCAAAATATTTATTTGACACCAATAACAAATAAGGAGATGCTAAATTTGATCAAAACCATCCACATAAAACTGAATGAAACAGAGCAAATACAAACTACATAAACAAGCGAATGCAATGCATTGCATCGAATGCAAAAACACACTGACAATTGACAAATCCAAAATCCCTCAAAACCAGCATTCATTCAAGCACCATTCTCCAAAACATCGTCGATAAACCGGCCCAAAAACTCATACGACGAACCTCCTTCCGACATGACAGCCCGACTCGTTTCACTCAAAGCCCTCACCTTAGCCCGCCGGCCCTCATTCTCTGTGCCCATCAACTCCCCGACGGCCCTCTCTATCCTGTCGGCCGGCACAATCACGCCGCTATCCCTCTTGTAATCCATCTTAATCTCGACCGCAATCCCGAGCTCCGTCACCAGCTGGAACGCGTTCGCCTGCTGCTCGGCAGCCAACGGCCACACGGCCATCGGCACCCCACACCACACACTCTCGAGCGTCGAGTTCCACCCGCAGTGCGAAACAAACCCCCCGACCGCTCGGTGGGCCAGCACCGCCACCTGTGGGGCCCACCCGATCACCTTCCCGAAGCCCGAAATCCGCTCCAAGAACCCGTCGGGCAAAAACTCACCCACATTCTCAAACTCCCCCGGAAACTCGAATTTTCCCTTTGGCGCCGGTTTTCGCAACGACCACAGAAATCCGCACCCGATTCTCTCGAGCGCGGCAGCAATCTCCCGCACCTGATCCGCGTCGAAACTCCCGCGGCTGCCGAAGCAGAGGAACACTACCGACGAGTCGGGTTTCTCGTCGAGCCATTTCGTGATCTCGTCGAGCTCTTTATTGTCCTCGTTCGAATATTGGATGATGGGGCCCACCGGATAAACCGGCGGGAGATTCACGAGCGCGCGCACCGCGCGCGGCTCGAGTTCGAGAAAAGTGTTGACGATAATACCCTTCGTCTCCCTGAACTTCCTAGCGAAATTCAAGAAAATGCTCTCCCCGTCGAAAACCATTTCCGGCCACACGCGCACGGGAACAGGGGAACCGTACGTGGGGACGGAAATCGAGGCGGCCTCGTCCGAATCCTTGTACTCCTTGAGGTCTCGATTTTCGAAATCGACGAGTCCCTGGAGGTGGAGAAGGAGGCCGAGGCATGAGGCGCTGCAAGTGAAGAAAACGTAGGACGGGACGCCGAGCTCGTGGGCCACGTCGACCATGGCCGTGCAGAACATGTCGACAACGAAGCCCGCGAGACGGCTCGGTTTCGTCTGGCTCCCGGTTTCGATTAATTTTGACACGGCGTCCCTCACGGGACCCTGCTGGCTGGTGACAAAACGGTCCACCAATAATTTGGGCGACTCGGTCGACGTGGCAAAACCGGATTCGTCGGGGGGAAGATGGACGAAGTGGATCCGTGAGTCGGGGGAAGTTTTCTCGGGGGATGAACCGGTTTTGGTGTCGATTGGGAGCTTCATGAGGATGATGGCGACCGAGAGGCGCGGGTCCCGGGACACGAGGAGTTCGGCCAGCTGGACGGCGGCCGCCTGGTGGCTCAGGACGGGGAACGGGATGAAGACGAGGGTTGCGTTTTGATCGGGAGACATAGNGGAAATTAACTTAAAGAGGTGGGATTTGATTTATAGTTTATATAGAGGAGTTAGCAGGTCGGGTTTGATGGCAAAGTTTGAATATTATAAGGATTTGCTGTGAGAAAGACTTATCGGGCAAGTAATGTACAGTCGCTTGGACAATCATGTGAGGAAGTGTTTGTGAGCTTGGACTAGGAAAAATAACAGTTTATTTCTTGGACAAGATTAAGGCTTGTCATTTTTATTGTAATTAGTTATTAATTAAAACAATTGGTCTTTTATTTCTGTCAGAGTTAGAGATCGCTATTCTAATTTATAACACAATAATTTTTAACTTTTAATTAAGTAAAATTTTATTATAAATTATTCTACTTTAAAAAATATGTAAATAAAATTATGAAATCTGATGATATAAATATACAATTTTTTTTTTTTTCACAAAATATGACATATTTTACTGTTGGGCAAGATTTGTGGACCAGAATTTGTGTTATTAAAAATCTAGAAGTCACGAGCATGGAGCAGGAAAATTTTGACTTGGAAACCATAATTTAAGGTCTTCCCGTTCCCGGGATGTCATCGTCTGTCTGCATGCGATTTAACAGTTCTTTTTTTCTTTTTTTGTTGGGACTTGGAAGAGCTCTTCACATTGAGAATGTAATGAAAATGTAACGTAACAGTTCTTCACTTTTCAAGTTGTTAATAATTTCAACTAAGTGGGTATTTAGTATTTACATATGTGAGAAAATGATAAATTCTATCCTACCCATGGGTAGTTGAGGTAGTGCCCCCATAGAATTTTTAGCCACATATTTCACACACACCCATGTGGGTGTGTGTGTGTGATTGTGTGGCCAAAATCCCATGGGGGCATTACCCCATGGGGTAGGATAGAATCTACCGTAAAAAAATACTTTCAAGAGGTTTAAGTGGCAAAAGACACCTTTTAGAACGTACTCGAATGAGAACGGACGCATCTAAAGGTTAAAAGACACTTTAAAGTCATCAAGATTAATTACGACCTTTTAGTGTACGCAGCCAGCTGCGCGCCGTGCGCCACGGGCTCGTACTAGCTTATACAGACCCGGAATCGAATTCTGTTTTTCCTACTCGTCCCCAACGAACTCTTCTAGAGTTATAGCATGTAAACTACATTATCATGCCCCGTTTGAATTATCCTAACATTCGTCAAAGATAGAATATTTTATGAATCCAATAATTTGAGTTACTTAAAGAAAACTTTACATTTCTTATATATACAACTTAAAATTAATTTCTCATTTACCTTAAAATAGTTTCAAGAATTTTCTTGTAGATCACCATTAATTCAAATTTAAAAAAATTATGATGATGAAAGATCTGACGTAGAAAATAACATATTTTAGAGAACTTGTAGATGGTCAACAACCAATGAGTTTGAAATTAAATATTTCTATTTCACAACTCACTGACTTACAGGCTCCTGAATTACCCGTTCTTCGCACAAAGTATTTTTCTTATTTTATACTATTACTCCTTAAAATTTTCTATCTTTTTCCATATTAAAATAATGGCATGATAGATATTTTCAAACTAAAATCTTTAATCTTTGACTAAAGTAGATACACTGCAGCATGCTTTATAGAGCTTTTTAGACTATCCTTATCGGTGACCCGTTAGGTTGGGTGACCAGGTAAAAGACAAAAAAATAAAATAAATAAATAAAAAAATAAAATTGCAGGTCAGATTGTGACCTTGAGTGGCAATCGATCCTTTCCCACCTTCCTAGTTCTATCCAATCTATACTTATATTAAAAGGTATTCCATTTACCAGATTTAGTATAAAGAAAAGTCAAAAGTAATTAATGTTTGCTGAAAATAGAATGACATTAATTACAGATTTATTTTGGTATTTATAGTTTGACATTAAAGATTTGTTATTGGATAAAAATCAGAACCGATTTTTTTACCTTTGCTGGAAAAGTGAAATGTTAGTATAGATTTATTTTATTTCATAACATCGGTTTAGTTAAAATAATCTCATAAAATCGGTTTTAATGTCAAGCCTATAAATAAAGATTTAATCGGTTTTAATAAAGCAGATTTAATCGATTTTAATAATTGCATAGAATTTCAAAGCTGTTATTTATTGTAAAAAAATTAAATTCTAAAAAAACATTTGTGTATATTTTGTAAAATGTTTGTACAAAATGTTTTACTTTAAATTTAGTTACATAATTTAAATTAATTACATTAATAAATAATATGAACATACATTAAATATTTTAATTACATAAAACAAAAAGAAGAAGAAGATTACATCTATAACTGATAATAATAATGACATTATACTACATTAAATTTTATAATGAAATAATATAAGTATTATACGAGGAACAAGATTGCGTAAAATTGCTATTTTTCTTATATCAATTAATAAATATATATAATGAAATCAAAATTATATTATTATAAACATGTGAGCGAGATAATATATTAATTAATTTACGGGCTAGCGCTACCAGACTCAGGTTTAATGTTCCGACAAAAAAAATGATGTTGATGAAAAGATGTAAAAAAATAGATGATCAAACTCTATTATTTTTTAAGCCTGAACGGACAAGCCCTATGGTCCACTCATTTAATATCTCCTGTGAATCGCACGAGCTACTTAACGGACAAGTTCTTTGGAAATAACTCATTAATACTTATGTCACGTGCATCGCACGGGCTACGTGCTAGTTCTTTTTTATATCCTTTCCCACCTTCCATTTTTTTTTTTTCATTCTTTTTGGATAAAGGGAGAGAGAATTAGGACACTTGTCTCATTTCAATTGGGCACTATTAATTTTATATGATTAGATAAATATAACTCAAATTATTGATATTATTTTATATTAAAAAATAAAATAAAAAAATATTAAAATTTGTATTTTTTCATTCTCTACAAATAGAGACCACTCTTGATATGTTTTGAAACACAATTGAAATTATTATATTGGGTTGGGTTGTAGATAAAACAATACCAAAAAATGTATTGTAAATAATATTTAATAAATAAATAAAAATAAATAAATATTAAGTTGGATTGAGTTGGGTTGAGAATAAAAATATGTAGGTTGTTATAAGTTGGTTGTGTAGGTAGAAGAAAAAATAATAATTTTTTATTATTAAGTTGAATTAAATTGGGTTGGGATAAAGATAGTGTAGCAACAAAGACAAAAATTGATGGGGTTGGTAATTGGTATTCTGAATCTAGATATGCTTGTATAACATTACCACATGCGTATTATTTTCACATATGTATATATTTTCATTTAAAAACGACATCCTTTAAAAATAAAATAAACAAAAATATAACCTAACTATATACTCGTCAAATTATTAGACTGTCTGACCCAAGATTGAAATTTTAATTTTTTAATTTACTAGTAAAGTGTACGTGCGATGCATGTGGTGACGAATAATTTTTTCTGATTAAGTTTAGTAAGATAAATTATTAAATATAAGATTGCATTGCAGGAACAAAATAAAATTTAGAACAAGTAAACTTTTAATGTAATTTTTTTATTTTAAACTAACATAATGATGTCGTAATATAAAAAGATTTAAATAACATATTATAATTCCAACAAAAAAATATGAAAAATGAGTCCCTAATAAAAAAAACACTAAATAACTAAGGAAGGGATCTAATGTATATTACAGCTGCATGAGTTCTTTTATTTATTTATGTTCGATTCAAGAATGATTTTCTTTCATTTTTGTCTTGACATTCTCATAACAAACATTCATACTCTCGTTGGAGCTCAACACATCAATAGCATTGCAAAATTTTTTCTTGATTAATTTAGCAAAACGTCTGTTTTATTCAACACTTAGAAATATTTTAGCCAAACATATAGTCAAACATCATGATTATATGATTATTATAAGATATTTTTACTAATTGTTCATAAATATCTCTGTGAAATAACCAACTGTGTCATTAAAATCTTGATATTTTTTTAGTCATTGTATAAACTGCTACATTACTCTCTCTCTCTCTCTCTCTCTCTCTCTCTCTCTCTCCATATAGACAAATTGGTATCTACCTCATGAGGTGGGGATGAATTTCATCCCTAAACAAGACGCTAAATTAATTTTTGAAATCATCACATAATTATATGAAAGTATGTACTCTAAAGTAATTGTGGTTATGACCGAGCACAATACACAATTAAGATTGTAAACATTCCTATAAAAAATTGACAACTTATTCGAACATTCAAAAATGTTTTGATCAGGATCAGACATTTCATTTTCAGTGTTATTTATTTGGAAGATAGAGAACTACATCACCTATTATATTAAAATCATGGAACAGTTTGGTTGTTGCAATGATTTTAGAGTTGTTTATCATAATATCTTTTTCATTTGTTCGAATTTGAGATATTTATGCTTATTTAATGCATTTATTGTCCAACTTTTTGCACCATACATAATGCTTCGAAAATTCAAGATAAATATCATTTCTTGATTCTTCAATAATAACAAAACAAAACAGATAATGAGACAAATATCGAGAAACATATCATTGTCAAAATATTTGAGATGAGAAGAATTTGAATTCTATAATACTCTAATACTCTTAGTCACTGTGAACTTTATTATTATGAAGTCATTATTGAAGTTTATCTTCTATTTTTTTTTTTGACGAAACGATAGGCATATTATATATCAAAACGCACAAATGTGCAAGAAAGCAGCCCAAGGCTGAATATTACAACCAAGAACTAAAAACTGGGAGGACGGATCGAAACCGCCTAGAACCTCGCTAGCCACGCTAGAAAATAAAACACACAACACACAACTACACCAACACACCAACTACGAACGCTCCCCACAGGAGAATATGAAACGCCCCCTGTTTGTAGTATTTTGAGGGTAGTTGGTAACCGAGCTACCCGACCTCGAGTCGTTCTCAAAGGAAGACGGTTCGGAGCTTCGTTTACCACTCAATTGTCCAAATCACACAAAATGAGAAAATAAAAGCT